AGACAGCCAGCAGCTTCACACCTCCCTGTGTGATGACGGTCTTCCTGACTTTTCCAAACACACCTCGTGTGGCACAGACCCTCCGGGCCTCGCCCACACGCCGCGTGTGCCACAGGCCCTCTCAGCCTCTCCAGGCAGACTCCAGGCAGACTCCAGCTCAGTGTCTCGTGCGTCACCTACACAGTCTCTCACGCTCTGCATGTACGTCTGCAGCACCGACTGCCTCTTCCTCTCTGGCCACTCTCTTAATAGGGCTGTTATCAGCCACCTGGACAGTCTGGCCTGGCAATTGGCTGCACCTGGCCCCAGGACTGGAGATTTCATCCAGCCCAAGACTCTTAGTAATCTCCAGAGACCCATATCCCAGTTATACTCCAGAAAACCCGGAAAGAACTGGAAACCCAGCTCCTTCCCTGTAACACTATAGGTTTCCTGGACCCTCTCAGCCCCTCTGGCCGAGAGTCCTGGGCGCCAAAAACACCAATCACCTCAGTGACACGGCCCTGTCCTGTCACAAGTTAGGTCTTAGAGTTTAAAGTATATTTCCACTTTTGCAGCCACATTGGGATAACACCTATTTTATATTTGTTACATGTTCCAATTCACATAGCATGAGTTAAAAAAAAAAAATTAAATATGCTTTTACAGTTTAAATTGCTTTTACTCGGTTTAGGGTTTTAGGGTTAAAATTTCTTCTTGCTTCTATTTCTTTGAAATGTTAGGAGGGCTGTGAGGGGTGAGGGCTCTGACATGGCTTGTCCATTGTGTGTTAAAGGAGAATTATGAGGTGAGTGCTTTGCACTCAGCCTCATAATCTGAGCCGACCTGTGACAATGAAACTGTCACAGGTCGGCTCGGTAGATCGGGAAGTGAGCGAACACATAACGGCGCTCGCTCACTTCTCGATCTATCCCCGCAGGTGAGCCGTGACAGGGGAGTGACTGGATTCCCCCCTCCCCTGTCCGATCCTCCAGCGCTGACTGGCGGGAACGGACGGGGGAGGGGGCGGGTACAGCTGGCTCTGCCTCTAGATAGGCAGAGCCAGCTGTCACTCACGCAGCTGGGCAGTTCCAGACATAATTGTCGGGATCCGTTCCGGCTGCGGCGTCTCAGTATACCGGGAGCTGCAGCTCGCGGTATACTGAGCCTAGGGTGACGGGAGGACGCTAGTTTGTGTCCCCCCGTTACCCTTAGGAGAACTATGGGGAAAAGCACTAACCCCATAGTTCTCCTTTAATGATGCTTATTGAATGAACACAATCCTCAAATTTCAGTTCCAAGTCTTTCCATTGGGCCAGACCACTAAAAAAGGGGCTAAGAAAAATCTGGAATCAACCATCTTGGCTCCTTCAACAAAACATCTAAAAGGTAAGATTTTTTTTTTTACTAAGGCTGAGGATGATGATGAA